CTCAAGGGTTGTGGCTGTTTCCTGGTGAAATCTGAGAACTATTTGCTTTGGAGTTGGGTTGCAGTCTTCTTGCCCTTCATTTCCCCACCTCTTCCCACAGTGTGTGTGCCCTAATTCCTATATTAAACTACTTGATTTCTGTAATACTTTATAGTAACTCAATTTTCTTGACCAAAACCAGAGTGGTACAGTTGTTGGTATTGGTAGCAGGCTGCTGCCTTAACACTGTATGTGGCACTGGCTTTGAGGTCATGCAGCAAACAGCAAGAAATATTATAGGAGGTTGGAAAGGTGGTAACCTATTTTATGTAGTGGAGAAACATTTGATAAAACTGTTTTCTATGAGAACATGGAAGGAAAAGGTACCTAATAAACCCAAAGCATTGGGCAACGTTTCAAGGTAGAATGTTGATGGCAAGAACTGGTTGTAACAGCCACATTTGGTAATGTGCTACAAGAAACAGATGAGCTCAGAGAAGAACAAACTGGTTTGCAAGCAGAATTGAGAGGGATATAGAGAACCCAGAAAATTTGAAATATGTGAGGTTGAAAAATAGAACTTTTCCCCCAAGTCTCCAAGCACTAAAAGATGAAATTGAGAAATCCTTTGATTTAGAAAGGCTTACAAGATGCCATCTCAGTGCAGTAACCAAATTAAAGATGTGGCCATCATACCTATTCTGTTAAGATTTTTGAAAGTTCTTTTTGGCAAGACAAAATGGCTCTAGAAAGCAGACTAAGGGCATGGTTCCATAAAAGCTTAATACTCCCGAAGTACCTGAACTTAGGGAGAGATGCATGTTTCAAAGAAAATTCTTAGAGTTGACTGGAGTCAAATGTATTTAAAAAATTTTTTTGAGAGGGGACTGCTGCTATATGTGTCACCAGCCTAAAAGAGACTGTGATTATTCAAGATGTAAAAAGACCCTTGGGGAAGTTCTACTTCTGGGATGACTATATATGCAGTTCCACAGGCCCACTCAAGTGGTGGAAACTACTTAAAAATAACACTTAAAGTTTCTGGAAATTGTCCGTGTAGTCAATGAAGAAACATTTATTAAAGACAATCTACAAAAAGCTGGTAAGAACAAGGACAGTCTGTGATGTTTGAGACATTATATGTTCCCTCCTTCCTTTCTCACTCAGTTCAGCTTGATGGAAGCTCCACTCCAGCCAAGAATACGGGACTCCTTCTCCCCTCAGCTCCCAGTCATGCTCATCATATCTTGCTAAGAGGGGCACACTGCCAGCATTTCTCATCCCCTTTGACTCCAAATTGAATAGGCTAAATTCTTGGTGAGCAGGGCTGAGAGGCCTGGGGTTCCCTTCTTCTCCCGAGCTCCTATCCATAGGATGGAGGCTCTACCCCAGGTGAGGCAGCTCTCAGGTCTCTCACAGGGCAGAGATTCCACAGCAGGAGAGGCAAGTGAAGAAGACAAGAGACTACCACCCCCCCAGTGCCCAGAGTAGTGGCTCAGAGAGTTTGCTTCGGGGGAGAGGCAGTCCATAAGAAGAAAGAGCTCCAAAGTTCCCCCTAAAGAAACTGACTTTATCTGAAATGGAATGAAGGGGAGTTCAAGTGTAAGGGTGCTCTACAAAATAATAGTTGCTCTTAATTAAGAACTATAAGCTAAACCACTGGTCAGTTAATTCACCAGAATTAACCAGAGAAAGAAACAGTGAAGCAGAACCCTACTGGAGTTGGAACAAACCTCAAAAATTACCCTTGCTTGATAAACGATAATGTACACCCAAAATTACATAACATTATAAACCATTATAATCCCAATAAAATTAATTGGGAAAAAAAAGGAAATCATCACACACAAAAATTACCCTTGGTTGAACTTGATTGGATTAGACTGCTGAGCGATTTATGTCCCAGGGCATTGCTGGAAACAACAGAGCAATCAACTGATAACTAGTGGAGCCTCACTGAGTGGTGTAATAACAGATGAAGCAGACAGATTAACAGAGAGATCAGAGATTATTAAAATAACCTAGCTAAGTCACTAAACAAATAAATAAGAAAAATACAACCCAAACAAGCCCCATAAAGTGGGGAGGGAAATCATATCCAGAGTTGCTACAGCATTTATTACCCAAAATGTCCAGTTTTCAGGAAAAAAACTATAAGACATGCAAAGAAAAAGAAACATATGACATAGGAAAAAAAGCAAGCAATAGAAACTATCCCTAAGAGGGACCAAATTTCAGATTTAATAGACAAGGCTTCAAAGTACCATTATAAGTATGTTCAAAGGACTAAAGGAAGCCCTTTTTAAAGAAGAAAAGGAAGGTATGAAGATAATGTCTCATCAAATAGAGAATACCAATAAAGAGATAAAATAGGATAGAAAGAAGCAAAAGAAAATTCTGGAGTTGAAAAGTACAATAATCAAAATGAAAAATTCATTAGAGAGCTTCAACACTTGATTTGAACTGACAGAACAATCAGTGACCTTGAAGATACGTTGATAGAGATTGTGGAAGCCAAAGAAAGAAAGAAAAAAGGGCAAAGAAAAATGAAGAGAGTCTCAGAGAAATAAGGGACACCCACCTTTAAGTGCACCAACTACATGCAATAAGAGCACTAGAAAGAGAGGAAAGAGAAAGGTCCAGAAAAAACATTTGAAGAAATAATGGCTGAAATCTTCCCATATTTGATGAAAATCTTTAATCTACATATATGCAAAGCTCAATAAGACCCAAGTAGGATAAATACAAAGAGATCCACAAACAGACACATCATAGTAAAAGCACTGAAAGCCAAAGACAAGGAGAAAATCTTGAAAGCAGCAAGAGAAATGTCACTTTTAAGGGAAACCCCACTAAGATTAACAGCTGACTTGTTATCAGAAACAATGGTAGCTGGAGGCAATGAGATATCGTACTCACAGAGCTCAAAGAAAAAATATCTATTACCCAAGAATCCTTTGCTAGCAAAGCTATATTTCAAAACTGAAAGTAAAATAAAGACATTCCCAGATAAATAAAAACTGAGAAAATTTGTTGCCAGCAGACATGCCTTACAAGAAATGCTAAAGGAAGTTCTTCAGGCTGAAAGCAAATGAATCCAGACAGAAATTCTAATACAGACGAAAAAACAAAGAACACTGATAAAGCTAATTGTGTAATTATAAAAGACAGTATAAATGCATATTTTCTTCTTTCTTCTATACCATATAGAAATATTTGAAATATTCAAATATTTAAAAATAACATTGCAAAGGAGGTGGATGGAAACAAATTTTATTGGAATAAGAAAATGACTAGGTGGTGATTTGAACCCACAGGAATACATGAAAAGAAGCAGAAATGGTAAATAAGGTAAATGCATAAACTTCATAAATGTATACTTGCTTACTTGCTCTCCTTTCTTTTCTCAGCTTTTTTAATAGACACAAAATTATAAAAAGTATTAATTACATCAATGTATTGTTAGGTTTTAACATATATACATCTATTTTATATTATATATAAAATATATATTTATAGATATAAATATGAAATACAAATATACATATATATAATATATAGATATAGAAATATATAAGTAAATATAATACATACATACAAATAATTGAAATAAAATATATATAAGTAAAATATATAAATATAATTCTGTATTTATAAATGTTAATATAAAAATATATAGCATATGTATTATAAAATAGCACAAAAACTAAGAAGAGCTAATAGAGTTATATGAGAGTTCCTATATCTCACTGAAATTAAATTAGTATAACTTGGAAGTAGATTCTCATAAATTAAGATGTATATTATAATCCCTAGATCAATCACTAAGAAAATAACTCAGAAATATACAACAAAAAAATCAGTAGAGAAATTAAAATGTTACTTTGGAAAATATTCACTCAGTGCAAAAGAAAGCAGTTAAGGGGGAACAGAGGAACAAAAATGACATGAGACATATAGAAAACAAAAGTTAAATGGTAGACATAAATCCAGCTATGTCAATAACCACAGTAAATGTGAATGGATTAACCAACGCAATCTAAAGGCAGAGATTCTTCATATTCTTCAATGCTCTCTACAGATATGGCTAAGGAAATGGAAAACAAGGATTTCTCAGGGAAGGGAGCCATGAGTCATGGAGAACAGGAGACTGGAGAGCTATAGAGAGCTATGCCCGGGGAGGAGGACCAGAGCCTAATCAAATAATGTATCCTTTCTCTAGAGTAGAGAGAACTTGCAAAAATTGCCCAAAAGGATTTCCAGATTTTTAGGGACCAGCAATTGCTATATGCCTACAATTCTTTCCTTTTCGCATGACAGTGCTTAATGCAGTTATGCTCTCCCTGTTCTGCTACTCTGTGATGGATGTGCAGGGCGGATAGCTTGCTTCATAGTTCATAGCCTCCAGATCAAGTAGAGCTGCAGCTGGACCTGCTGTACATCATGAGATTATGGACCTGACACAATGATTGGTTTTGACTTTTGGAATATCTTGGTGAGAGGGTGAGTATATTTTTCCTGCTGGATAAGAATGACTCATTTGTGACCGAGAGGAAGAACTCTGGTAGATGGTGTTTTTGGTTCATAATTCTTCTTTTCCTCCTTTCCTTTGCCATGATTTCGCCTTAAATGGAGTATATCTTCCTTCTCAACTGATTTTTGGTGTGGTCATGTGACTGCCTTCACCAATGGTATGTTAACAAATACAATGTATGACATGTCCAGCCTGAGGCTTTAAATATACTTGCAGAGTCTGGCTAGCCCTCTTTCACTTCTGCCATGCACCAAGAGAATAATAAGCCCTGGGTAGCCACTAGTCCCAGGATGAGATAGATGTGGGTCCAGTCTAAATCTAGAACCATTTCCTGAGTCATAGCCACCCCAATTCTCCTGTGGATACGTGAGTGAAAAAACATAAATAATATTTGTAATTTTAGCCACTAAGATGTTTGCGGGTGTTTCACAACATTACTGCAGTCCTGGTGGTGGTACTGAGGCTAGTAATCACTATATTCACTCAGGTCCTGGCGGATCTCATTGTGCATCCAGACCCTAACTTTGACACCAAGAGGAAGTTGCTGAACAAGAGGCTGCTCCACTCTCTGCTCAGGTGTGTGTATGGGAACCAAAGGTGGGGTGGACCAGGACCAGCTGCTTCAGTGCTGGCCAGTGGAGGCCACGACTAGCTAGGTCAAAGGACTGTGCTGTCTGTGGGATGGGAGATGCTACCTAAGCAAGAAACTGTGGAGGAAGTTGCAGAAGTGGCATTTTCAAAAACAAGTTGTAGGACAGTAGGAAAAAAAACCTTTTATAAACTGGAAATAATACTAATGAACTTTTTTATCAACCCCAATAGAGAAAAAACTGAATTAATATCTGTACTCTCCATAGAAAATATTACAAAATCATCATATGAAGAGGTGTTCAAAGATTATGTAGACTAAGGTGTAGAAAGAAGATATTCTAGAGGTGTATCAGGCAGTTAGCTAATAATAAAGCATGACGCTAATTTTGTAATGTTCTGGTATTTGTCAGCATTTAACATTTGTAATTTCTTTTTGCATTCTAAAAGTACTCTCCTTTGCATACAATCTTATTTTTCTTATTATTGTTCTGAAGAGTGTCAGAAAGTTGTACAGGGATCTGAAGCCTGAAACTGAGGCAGCCTTATTTAGTGATGAGGGGAGAGCCTAGAGCTGCCAGGGTCCCATGACATGTCTATGGATGAAGCCGACCCCATAGAAGGCCGGGCATCTGGGTTCTTGGTCATTGAGAGCATTGGGTTCAGTGGCTGGAATCATGAAACAGGCCACACTTGAAGTTATTTGTGACACTGGAGTCTTCAACTTCTGAGCCAATAGATTCCTTTTATTCTTCAAGCTAATGTGAGCTTTTTCTTTTTTGTCACTTGTACTACAAAGTGTCCAAATGGAAACAACAGAGCACAATGCATATAAGATGCAATTCTCTAAAACATCATTTATTCTTTTCATTCTTCTCGGGTCTTGTTTGGTTCTAGTTCAGACCCTTATTTCTTATCTAAATTAAGAAAATAGTACTCCTGCTTCCAAACCTCAGTTTCTAAGCCTCAATTTCCATACCATCAAGTGCGGGTAGCAGGAGCACGTTCCTCCCCGTACGGTTATTATGATGATTACGTAAGATTAGGCATGGAAAGCACGTAGCAGATTCTTCAGTGCATAGCAAGTGCTCAGTGACTTTTTCCCTCTTGAGTTTCTCCCTCGTTTGCTTTAATGTCTTATTTGCTTCACAACAGATCACGTCATTCTCTTCCTCAAGGAATCTTCTTTCTTTGAGTAAAGGTGGCGTTTCTTAGCAAGACTCTCAAGGTCCTATATCCCATAGCCTCAAGCCTCAAGCCACTTTATACCTTCGTGCATTCTGTGAGATGTTTACTGTTTCCAAAACACACCAGGCACTTTCCTGTTGTTAATCAAGGTGTCCTTCAAACTGGGTGCTTTCCTTTTCTTTCTTGATTTCTCAAAGACCCATTAGCGCATATGTTGCTTCCTTTTTGAAGCCATCTGAGATCTCCATATCTCATTTCTATGTCCCCAGCAGTGTCTGCTTGCACTTCCGTCCCAGTATTTATTTTACTTTGCCTCTTTTTATACTTCATAATTTACGGGATGTCTTCCTACTTGGCTCTAGGCTCCTTCGGGGCAGAGCTTGCTTCTGTTTCGCCTATGTTTTTCCCACAAGACCTTGCATGGTGAAAGGAGCCCAGCTTGGTATGACTCCTTTAAGACATCAGCCCTTTGAAGTACCTCTTAAAGAGTGACATCCTGGTTCCCACCCATTTTAATAGTCTTAGATTCTGAACCATTAGCCGTGACTTCCTAAGGGCTATTCTGCTCTCATATTTCTGGGATATCAACTTTTCCTTCTCTTTTTTTCCATCCTCATCTTGCTCTTTGGATAAAGTCACTTTTTCATTCAATAAATATTTACTGAGCACATTTCAGCTGCTGAAACTACAGAGATGAACAGGTAGATTAATCTCTGCCTACGTGAGGTGTTTATGCTGGTTGAGGTGGGGTGGTGGGAGTGGCAAACAAGCAATAAACAAATAAATGAAAACATTTCAGAGTATGACAAACTCTGAGGGAAATAAATCAGGGAGATGTGCTAGAAAACAAGGTAGTCAGATGTCAGGACTGGAGTGGTGACTAAGGCTCTGTCTTCAATGGTGAATGGGCTTCTCTAGCACCCTGGAGCTGCCTCGGGGGATGCTCTTCCCAACAGGTCAGGTCCTGCATCCCCATCTTGGCACCATATCCGGTGATGTGACCACCATACATGGGGCCACAGAAAGGCTTGTGTCCTTGAAGTGGAAGCATCCATTTAATATATTTGGCATTTAGCTGGGAATTACATAGAGACTCATGGTTTGCTAGACTTTCTTTTCCTTTGTGATTTTTCCAAAATGCCATGCAAACGAAAAAAAGGAAGAAATAAAAACTTAAAATTCTATCAATGAAAAGAAAGAAAACTTCGTATCTTTTCTCTTGCTGTTGCTTGATTCAATAATGATCTTGATAATTTGTAAATTGTTTTTCCCCCTTCTCCTCTCTCTTGTGCCCCATTTCTTTCTACCATTTCAGCTGGCATGAGCTTTGTTCTTTTCCAAAATTAGTCAATGAAAATTGGAATTCTAATTTATTTTGGAAGATCTATGTCACCCTTACTCTGGGTAATGGTGGGAGTGGGGACCAGGAGCCTAACAGGTTGGATTTCACCCTGTAGATATCCTTTCTTTATTTAAGAATAGATGAACCCAAATGGTCCTATGTAAGAGCATGTAAACGTTGGATTGCCATTATTTAAAGATGAGAAATACAATGGGATTTTCTTATTTAAAACTCTTTGAGAAATGACATCATAGTAAGCATTACAAGGCAATTTATTGATAAAATCAGGTGCAACATAAGTTATATTTTTCTGAATTGTATTTAGAAAAAAACTTGAATTCTTAAAATAGAAAAAGGCTATCTAATGTTATTCATTGTTTTTCTTTTTTAAATCACTGAGATTTCAGAATCAGTTTGTTTCTACAAGTAATAAATGTTCAAGAAATGACGCTCATCCTAAAATAAGGCATTTCAGCACAATTCATTTATTCTTACAAGTTATAATGATTCATTTGTGTGAGTTTCCAGGACTTTACTATGCATCATGCATGGCTAGCACGCACTTTGAGATATTTTTGAGAGTAATCCTCTAAACAATACTTATGCTTCAGCACAAAATGTAGATAGATAATTAATAGAAGTTTAAAAATATGTCTTTGCAAATTGCTTGTCTCCCCTCCTTTACTAATTTGTCTTCTGTGCTAAGTGGATGTGGAGACAATTTAACGAATACAATTTACCACAGACTTTAGCAAAAAATAAATTTGATTCTGGAGCACCACAAATGATAGAATCTCAGAAACGAAAAGGACACCGAAAGGTCATGTGGTTCGTCCTTCTTCATTCAGACAGGTTTGCACTTCTCGTTACAGCTGAGTGAGAATCTATCCTAATTCTGAAGACATCCTGGGAAGAGGACCTCACCAGCTCTCTCGTTATTGCTAATGGGAAACATCCATCACTTGGTGGAAAATTCGTCTGAAGGACATCTAATTTCCTCATAGCATTGGAGTTTATTCCTATTTCCTTCAAATGAGTCTTCAGTGACGACCACATAAAATTTCTGTTAGCCAACCATTTTAAAGAAACGGGATTAAAGGAGGTAGAGTGTATAAGGTCTTAGAACAAGATCTGGCACCTAAAAGGATCTCTAAGTATGTGAGCTGCTGTAATAATAACAATCATGATCATCATTGCAGAGGGAGATATCAGGGTCTTTGTCTGTCTGCTGATAAAGGAATATCAAGTAATTTCGGGATTAGCAGCTCTGACTGCCTGGGGGTGGTTGGTTTGGGTGTCGTACCCTGAGGCTTCATGCCTGCTCCGTGGGCAGGAATGCATGCTTAGTGGCTGAGATGGGTGAGCGCAGGGGGCCATGGAAGGGACAGCTGCACTTGTGCCAGCTGTTTGCTATCCAGTGATGCTGACTGCAAGCTCTTGGGGAGCAGGGACCCCATTTTGTTAGCCTTGAGTCCCTAGTACTTAGCACAGTGCCAAGCACAGAAAGACACAATATATATTGAATCCTTAAATATTGACTATTATAAAAATCACTCCACAAAATATTTATGTTATCGTATGAATGTTATTCCTGTCTCCCAGTATGGTATTATAATTTAAAAAAATTTGTCCTCGAACATATTGCTGTTTCTCAGTCGGCCCCCTCTTTTTCCTCTTTTGTGTTTTTTTTTCTTTGGCCAGAGAGGTCCTGGTGAGTCTCCTCTGAAGGTGCTTTCAGTTCATCCAGGCTCTTTGTGAGAGAGAGAGGCCAGAATTAAACCCTGCGTCTTGTTACAACCTTGAGCATTGTGACGCATTCTGACATTTTGTGCTCTGTGCTGACGCTTCCTGGTACCACGCTGGCTTCGTCTCTATGTGAGGAATGACTAAGTTCAAGGTCATGTGAGGTGTCGCAATGTCTGAGACAATAGGATCGGAGGCTTCCGTACAAAATTTCACCCTGACTGGGGTTGTTGACCACTTTGTAAAGGGAGCTGTGAAAGTTCTTGCTGGGTGCCTTCATGATCTTTAGCTCTTAGAAGGCTGTCAGAGCAGCCATAAAGGTTGAGAAATGAAAACCCTGGGGCTGGACTAAGGAATTGCTCACTTTAAGCTCCAGCACTGTCTCTGCTGTTCTGCAGCTGCCTGAGTCACGCTGCTAAACCCATCTGTTTACATGAGGTTGAAGAAGGGAAAAGGTGGAGAAGAGAGGGAAGAACATCTTTTAAAAAACTCTCTTAGAGTGGATGCCGTGCTATCATTCTTCCTCCCACCTCCATCTTTTTTGTGGCCCAAATCACGCACTGTAGGATTTATTTTTCTAGGGCCGAGGGTGGAGGGTGAATAGGGTGGACTGGAGCAGAAAGAGGGGACCATATCCAAGGGGTGAGAATTTTGCATCCAACCAGGTCAATAGTGGGAAGGAGTCGAGGGCTGCTTTCATTCCGTTTCTCTTGGGTTGGGTGGATTTCTAGGAATCGGTGACCGCTCTCCTGACTCCTCCAGTTATTTTCTCTCTTAGTCTATCTCCTGACCTTTCAGAACAAGAGGGCTTGCAAAACGGAGTGTGGTGGATAGAATGGAGAGGCTTATGTGGGAGATGCTTTCTATGTCCTTACGTGGCTAGATCGCCCTTACCCTGGGGGCTGCCAACCTCTGGGACGACCAGAGAATCCTCTGGAGCTTTCGACTGGAATGGCTGCTCCTGGTGGTACAGTTCGGCCCAGACAATGTAGGTCCAGCAGGCTTTTGGAGCTCCCTCTTTCCGCGTCTCTGGCTTTGGACCTAGAGCATTAGCTTGGAGCACACGAGCTCTTACGGACCAAGTGAGCAGTGAGCACTCTTGTCTAAGTCTCAGAATCCAGCACTGAATTTCGCTACATCACCTGCCCCAACTTTGTCCATAAAAGTGCATCCTTTCTGTGCTTCCCTCTCTTTTAAATGAAATGACAGCCAGGATGGGGCCCTCTTGCTTTAGGAGGATGCATGGTGGTGTCTGAGCTAGGAAGGCAGAGGGAGTGAATGGAGGAAAGTGTCATCAAGCCCAAGGCCAACCCATTCTTGTCACTTCCTTCGCCTCTCTCCTCAGCACAGGAGTTGCGTGTAGAGAGATCAGGCACTCTGTAGTCACAGCTGTGTGGGGCCACAAATACACTGGCAATACTTCACCCAATACTTGTAGTCATCTCTTGTTAATTTAACTCAGGCAAGTGTCCTTGGCATTAAGAACAGGGAAATGTTGTTATGGAGAGTTGCAATTTCTCAGAAGGTATCATCCTTGAAACTTTCACACTATTAAACAAAAGTTTTTAAGGTAAAGACTGAAACGTACATCCCCAGCACTCTATTAGCAAACAAAATGGGAAAATTTTCTCTGATGGAAAGGCAGCCTAGCAAAGCAAGAGCCAACACTGGCTTAAATGGTCAAATGTCCAAACTCTGTAGCTAGGCTGCCTGGGTTCAATTCCTGGCTTTACTGGCTGTGTGACCTTGGCCAAGCTACTTAACTTCTCTGTGCCTCTATTTCCTCTTCTGTTAAATGGGGGTGATGATAACACTGGTGTCATGAGGATTAAATGAGCAAGTATATGTATAGGACTTGGCACATGTTAAGTGCTATATAAGAGTTTGTTAAATAAATAAGCTTCTCTCCTCACCATCTGTTAACCTCTTGCCTTGGCGAGCCTGACTCAATTGGCAGTCCTACCATTTGCCTCCCTGGTCAGGCAGGACTGGCTATATGACTTGTGGGGCCTAAACCAAAATGAAAATACAGGGTACCTTGCTGAAAAGTTATTAAGAATTTCAAGATGGTGACAGCAGGGCATTAAATGAAGTGTGGGGCTCTTCTAAGTGGCTGCACTTCTGTGCAACTGCACAGGTTGCATACCCATGAAGCTAGCCCTGGGGCCAGGAGGTAAGACTTAATTTACCCAATAAAGACTGTCCTGAATTGGTTTGAGGAATGGCAGTGAGTGACTATCTCAAACTTCTTTGACAATCTCATCCCAGAGTTTTGGCAGTGTGGTTTGCATTGAATTTTTAAAAAACATAAACCAGGTGACATATATCCATACACTGTCTAAGAGGAGTCACTTGAAAAGGAGAGTACTTTGAATGGCAATGGATCCCACTTTGATTTTTCTCCAGACTTAGCAGTTTTACCCTACACTTCTTCCGAAAGCTACCAGCCTCAACAGTCGGTCATGGGGTATCAAGAAACCATGGATTGTTGGGTGGCGGGCACGGATGCCATGCTGAATGCAGACTGGCTTCATGCAGAAAACGGAAATGACACAGATGATTCATTTACACATTTATTTTTTTTTTATCTTGCTTATTTTACCAGACTGAAATGGAGAACAATGCCAGCAATTTTATAGACATTTTGACATAAAGTAAACAAGTATTTTGATGTTGGACAATTGTACAGACTACTACATGCATATAAGTACGCTGACTGGTGCAGAAATATTGAGTTGATCAGCAAAACTACTAATACAAAATCACATTTCTTTTTATGGAGTTAAAATGCAGCAGATATGGGAACATTGATACAAACACCATTAAATGGGAGAGAAAGGCATTGTATTAATGGTGCGGGATGGAGAGCTGAACAAACACAAGTACGCTACATCGTATCTTCTTTACAAAACTAAAATCAAAACATTTTGTTTGCGAGTATAATGAAATAAAGCATGTTGAGGCAGATGAATGAGACTAGACAAGACTTACCGCTTACATATAAGCTTTAGCTTCTACTGAGGATTTGTCTTAAAAGTATTTCAACGTAGTATAAGATGAAATGCTAATACTATTATGTGTATGGACAGGACAGCATAATCCAACTGAGAAATCGTAAAGAATAAAATACTGATTGTGCTTCTTTCCCCTGCATCATTCAGAGAGTTCACAGGGTAGCATGAAAACTCTCTAAAACATTGAAGTTAATACAAGTAAATGATGCGTCATGCGACTGTATCTATAAATCTAATACCACGTGTAACAGAAATATGAAATCGTATTACTTAATGTATATAGCATTTTAAGAACTACGAATCTAACTTTTAATTTCTGATACTCTATATTCCCTAGGTTTTAAAAATAGTTTTGAGTGTTTTTAATCTGGGAGATGTTAAGGACTTGATAGAAATGATTAAAATCTCTACAACTTGAGAAAAAAAGAATAGGTTGTGTATCAACCTCTTTTATAGGGAAATCATGGTAATTCTTCCCAGCAAGGCTTTCCATGTGTGTTAATTACTGACAGTTTTATAGTTTCACCGTAAGTTTTCATAAAATTACTTTGTGAATCTTCACAGAGTTGTCCTGAGTTTAACAATAACAGTATAATTCTAACCTTAAACATGAAATTCATGAGTTTTGGGAGTCAGACGGATTTGTTTTGAATAATATATGACTCTCGTTAACCAAAAGAGCAGTAGAGAATTCAGGCTCCTGCTCCTGATCCTGAACACACTCACGCCCACACGCACACACACAGACACAAACGGCCTTCCCAAAAGCCAATCAATGTTTCAAAAAAATGTACATTAAATGTACAAAAGAGGTACCAAAACTGTACATTCAAAAAAATGTACAGTTTCTCCCGTTTAACTCATTTGGAGATTTGCCTTTCTCTACCAGCTTTTCTTTTTTTCTTTCTCCTCCTTCTGTCTTCATCGCCTCATCTCCTCTTGCCCCCTCTCTACCCTTCCTCCCCACTAAGATGCTGGCCTTTGAAAGACCAAAATGAAAATAACGTATATTCTTGACTACTGACTATCGCTAGACAGGTCACTTCTGAGGAATGTACACCCTTTGAGTAGCAAAAAGAGCTAATGTCGGACAGGTAAGCATTCACCACAATATCCTCTTTTTATTCTACACACAATAGTGGTGAAAGAAACCATTTAAGGCAAATCTACACTGGCCATGGAAAATAATTTAAGCAATTACCTGGGCAAATCAGTAGCTATTTCTCTTTAGTTTGTCAGTAGGCAACACTTTTTAAACTGAATTACTTGACATATTTAGGCTAAGTAGATACGATGTAGAGATTTTTACTACAAGCCTGAAAAAGACAGTCAAAAAATACTACTTCAGTATTTATGGTAAAGAACGCACAGACCGAAATGATCCAAACAATGAACCATTTGAACTAAAGGCATTATTGCACTGCCTCAGATCTTTTCTGGGCTAGACGATAAGTAAGCAGTTGACAGTCACTTGTACATAACGCTGTAACATAGCGTGTTGACAGTAAGATGAGAGAGTCACCCTGGCAGCTTGTAAATGCCGCAGACATGGGCAGTCAGTGTTGAGTTTTTACACAAGCTACATAGAGACAGGTAATACATACATTTCGTGAGCTGGTTAGGCAGCATAATGCTTTATCTGAGTATTATTTAATCAGCTAGGAACTTTATTTTTTGAGAAAACAGGTAGGAATACAGTATTCATTAGGCTATAACTAAATAGTAACAAGATCTAGACTGTCATGCAATTATGCTTTAGAACATGGATTATTTTTTAAAGCATCACAGTAAGCTGATGGAAACCCCAAACTAAGTCATGTGTTACACTAACGTTCTCATAGTATTACTAAGCAAAAAACAAACAAATCAAAAAAGAAAAAAACCAAAAAAGCCTTCATTAAAATCAAAGTATTATGTTCAGTTTACCAGTGATAGATCCCAGATATTCTGAAGGTGAAATTTTAGCGTATCTTGGAAATTCCCTCGCAGATTCAACGATCTTCTCAAAGTCAGTCTGTCTGTAATATCAGAGTTAGTTGCACCCCCCCGTTTCCACAGTGACCACTCGGATTTGGTTGGAGGAGTTGCTTTTCGACAGTGTAAGGACTCTACAGTGAGCTGCATTCATTATATGCAGCCTTTGGTCATCCTCCAGCTCTGACGCTCCTGTACGACATAAGGGCTCGGTCTAAATTTTTGTAACCTGGCATTTTAAATAAATTGAAACAGAAAGTGAGCCTCCTCCTCTGTTACCTTTCTTGGTCAATAAGATTTTAACATTAACAAAAAAAGTAAAACAAAAAGTCTCTGGTGAACCCTGATGATAATGTATACTTTGGATTGTAAAAAACAAAATTTAGAACTTTTTGAACACTTGAAAGCTCTTATCCTCACTTTATAGTTTATTCTGGCAAATAGCCAATTATGGTAAATCTGGAACCAAATTTGGTTATGAATTACTTTATGAAATATATCGTTAGGTTTACAAATATTTAAAGCATAAAGATGGTACAGTATGTTGAATATTCGCAAGATGACTAAGTTTGTTTAATTTTGTGATAAGGACGGTGTAAAAGACTCTTTAGATAGATAATATATCTAAAGTCTTAGTAATTGTAAGAAGCTGATTTTTCTCTAGAAGAAAGTGACGTTTGTCTATTAAATGTTAAAAATGTAAGGCTGTTAGGTAAGAAAACAAAACAAAACTGCATTACCTAAATTTTCATAACGTGTTATTTGTTCAAATAATGTCAACCTCTCTTTAAAGCCACATGAGGTGGAGACACATATATTTACACACATGCATGTGTGTATAATTTAGAAAATAAAATGCTCTCTATTTTAAGATAGCAGGAAGGGAAAACCTACATTTATACTCACACGCACGTTTAAAATTTTGACTGTTTCGGAAGCCACAGAAGAACTTTAGAAGACTAAGTCATAGCACACAAATGTGAGCTGAAAGATTGTTTTGCAATACTTTTTAAAAGAAAACGAAGACCGCCTATTGTCGAGCATTGCGGGAGGTGCTTTACTATATGGCACCTCATTTAATTTATAACAGTCTTTTAAAAAAAAACTCATAGTTATAGTAAAATGAGAAATATTAATTTCAAATGACCACCTAAGGATATTTCTAAATAAAAGAACATTAAAAGAAATCCTTACCCAAATATGAATCATTTCTAACTTGATGTACAGCAAAGTATAATTTTTCAATATGGCCTTCTCTCCATCCCTAGTATCTTTTGCTAAAGTTTTGTTTCAACTGCTCTTATAGTTTGGGCCAAGAACCGTATAAAAACTACCAGAGTAAGATCAGTTTCCCCTGATGGAAATGTTTGTTACCATTGAAAATGATGAAATGGTAACACTGATACTTTCCTTTTTGTAAACTGTCCTGAAAACAGACTCACTAATTGGTTATGCACAGAAACTTAGCGGAAAGTTTGCACTTAGGATGCTATCTTGTGGTAAATTAGTGAGTTGGGCCCCACCTTTCTCATTAACTTAAGTATTACCTTTGAAGTTCTTAAAAGACTTAAAATTATTGTTCTTTTGTTAAGAGTGGGAGAAAACATCGTGTCGTTGCCTTGTTGGTCAAACCATATGATCACACCATGTGGAGACAGTTCTCTGTCCTCAGGCTTCTCTAAGTTTTCTGACCACCTGGACACTCTTGACCTCCTATCACTCTTGGCTTTGGGCTTCAAGTTGCTATTGCTAATGGCTCATTTGGTCCTGCCCCTGACTTGATATCTAAAGTCCTGCCATCAGGCAGACCCTAAGAAAGGACTGCTGGTGGGCACTGCAGACAGGAGAGGAAGGAAAAATCTGGATGAGCGGGATCTGAGATTTGATCAAAAGAATCGCTTTCCAAACCAGGGTAGTGAAACTTGAGAAGAAGGTGGAAGGGACTTCCACAAATGGTTTCCATTGTGCCCCGGGGCACAGTAGGTGATGTTAATAAGTTGTCCAATAACTTTCCCCTTTAAAGACGTTCTGCCACTTACCCTCACTTCTCCAAACAAAAGCAAGCAAGTAACACAAGCGACAATATAAAAAAGAAAAGCTTTCGGATTGAAAGCAAGGTGCTAAGAGCAGACGTAGTCATTATGCAGTTAAATGAAAGCTTATTAAAAATGCTTCAGTGTGCTAATGGTACCTTATATTTGCTTAATAAACCTTTTTTATACATTCAGTGTTGAATTTTTAATGGTATAATATCATACCTCTTTAAAATTGCATAAGTTTGAAACTTGGCTGTTGTATGACAAATCTAGTGTTTTGTAAGCTGCAGATTTTCCTGTCTTTGAATTTGAACTAAATAGGAAGATTTTCCCAGTTCTTTAGAGAGATTTTCATAGTATATAAAGACTCATCAATTCTGGCAATAGCATTTTTGGGGGTAAGTAATTTGGGTAATATTAGTATATATTACTCTCTGTGTATTTGTTTTCTTTACAAAAATCCTCCTAATTTCAATTAAACATTATGATGTGAGTACAGTTTGCAGGTTAAAATCATAGTCTACCACATATGCTGCAAATAAGAATGTTACAAGCATCTTGGTTTAAAGACGGCAGAAATCTGGCTGTAATAGAATTTCTGGCCAGAACCCACAGATGTCTCTTGGGAGTTTAGAAATCATCTGTTTTGTGGCCAGAGTCAGTTCAGGGGCATTTCGGGTTCTACTTGTAATCTTCAGGTAGAATGGAAACTACGAGTTTTGGAGTCAGTCAACCCAATATCTTTGTCTTCACAGGTCCGTGAATCTTAGAGAAACCACTGAGTTCTCGTTAGCTTCCCACGAACAGTAGAGAGGTCCAAGTAGCACTCTCTGTGTATCCAGAGCACAGACTAGGACACTCCTAACTACTCAGCTAACCTTGTGATTTTGTTTTGATTTGGAGGCAGTGGTGGGAATGTTCTGAAAGAGCTGTGCAAAGAGTAGCAAATTTTATCAGATATTTTGGAGTAAGAAAAAGAAAACTGAGAAATGATCACTGAAAAAGATGTCTGGGACGTAGCTGTGATTTTGGCCATATGCATGCATAATGGAAGGTAGGAAATGGTTGAGAACTTTCTTTCAATCTTTGTTACCACATCCTTTCTAGGCAAATAGAATTCCGCTTTCTCTCAGGTTGACCACTAGAGGGCACTCAACAAGGAGAATAAAAAGCAGGCTGGCAGGGCTCAGGACATTGTTTCTGAGCCTGTGCGTTTCTCTCTGATCTGTTAGCACTATTCTGTGTCTGTTTCCCTGAGTCTTGAATTTGAAAGTCTATTTTTATTGTCTGGTATGCCATCTCAAATTCGTTTTAGGCTGAAATGGAGCAAAAATAACCAAAAGTAAAACTATTCAGCCATATCGTTTGCCAGCATTGCCCGGTGGATGGGAGATAAGGGGCACAACCCAGATTGGCATTATTTTCATCAGATTAGCAGGCTGTGATGGCTTCTATAGCAGCATACGGGCTAGGATTAAAAACAAAATCAAATGAAACACTTACGGGAGTATAAAAATAGTTACTTTTAATGTCATTTTTGCTGGAATCATATTTCCTTTGGCAGAAGAGGGCAATATCTACACTGAAATAAATTGTCACGTGATTTCACACAGCTATTATAATTTTAAGCATAGATGCTTAGAAATCTAATGGGGTGGTCATTCAGATTCTAGAGTAAGGAATGAAAGAAATAACTTGAGTCTGAGGAAAAATAAAAGTGGGGTATAAAAATTCTCAGACAACAAATGCAAACATTCTGCTGAGCTATTTCCAGCTTACCTATGGGACTCAGCTTCACTTGGGAATATAACCTCTTTAAATATGAACCCTCTGGTCGACTAGTAAAATCGAGGGAATGAACTGAACATAAATTAATTTCTGGCACATGGTAGACAATCAGTGTTTGTTGAACGACATTTTTTATCACAGCAATCTGGAAGTATCTGTTAGATGATAAGAAATAATGTCTTCAGGAAAGAAATTAAAGTTGGAATTATGTTCTCAATTGTAAATTTCATGTCAATGTCTAAATTTTATATAAGTATATTCATAGACCTAATATAAATTTCTCTGCTTAAAAACATATGTAATCTACTCACAGATTTCAGAGACTTCCCTTCCTTTTATTTGTACTTGTATCTTTTGCTGGCCTTGTGTTGTCTTATTATTAAAGGGAATCATCACCTTCCTTTATTTATATGTATATTTATAGGTTAAAACCCTTTTAGACTTAACAAGGAGGAGATTATTCATTAACGGCAATGATAAGTAAGGATTTATGCAATTAAATTAAGCTGTTTTAGAAAGGCAAGTAGAAGAAATGATTTTGAAATCACTCAAAGATAGCATTATATAGCATTATATTACAGTAAGCACTAACTTCAATAATATAGAATGTTTACCAAGATTTCAGAGTTGGGGTGTTTCTTCTTTCTTATTAGGGAAGGGCCTTTGAAAGTTTCCATTTTTTATGTAGATTTTGTACAGTCTCCTTTTTCTTTTTTTTTTTTCTTTTTGGGTTAGGACAGTGGCAGTTGAAAAATACTCAATATATTTTCGAATTCACATGGACCTAGTGAATATATCCCTTGAGTTAAGCTAAATAATTTTCTTTCTTTTTTTTCTTGAGGAAGATTAGCGCTGAGCTAACATCTACTGCCAATCCTCCTCTTTTTCCTGAGGAAGACTGGCCCTGAGCTAACATCTGTGCCTATCTTCCTCTATTTTATATGTGGAATGCCAGCCACAGCATGGCTCGACAAGCGATGCATAGGTCTGCGCCCAGGATCCAAACCCCAGGCCGCCGAAGCGGAATGTGCAAACTTACTGCTGCATCACTGAGCTGGCCCCTAGTTAAGCTAAATAATTTTTGAATATTGAATTTTAAATATCCTCCTCTTAGAAATTCAGAGGACTAAACAGGGACTAGTGATAGTGCTAAAATGTTGCCTCTAGTCAATAGGAAGTAAGAAAAACAATTAAAATGTTTTGTTTTTCATCACATAACCATCAACACACTATTAAAATACAAAACTTGTTATAGACTTTTTCACTGGTATCACATTTTGCTCTAGTTATCAGTGACAGACTATTATTAGCTATTTTGACAAGCAACATATCTAATTGAAAAATTATTTTTCAATTTATCAGATAAGGAAGATAACATATCACCTCCTTCATCAGATTAACAACGTATTATCTCAATCATAAATCTAAACTGTGATTCAAAAATAATTATGACCAGACTTTCATTTATACCATCCATCTATTTCTTAGGAAAACAGTTTGTTGGGAAAGCATTTCACTTGTTCCTGTTCAATGCTTCCCTGGTTTGATGATTAAGTGATTTTTCCATACTCAGAAGACATTTTTCTGTAACCCAAAGGGTCCTCGGCCTGGTTTTAAATGGGCCAGGCAGGAAGCTCCGTGAGGCTGGGGCTGCACCCTGGCACCAAGCACAATGCCCTCTATAGAATTTAGGGGTGCTTATCTAGTATTTAGGGGTGCATATCTAGTAGTTAGTAATATAGGGTGCTCACCTAGTATTTGTTGACTGGAAGGACAGTAAATGACAACCAAATTCAATTAGACAATATTTTTGAACTTAGACTAGAAGTAGTTCTAAAGTTCTACTGGTTTTTGTTTCAGAAAATCAAGTGGCTCCCTTCAGCCCTCTGCTTGATGCGTATGTCCTGTTACATCATGAGCTATGTCTTTTCTTTAACCCAAGGATGTGTCTATTATGACCAGAATTCTAAACTGGCAAACGTATGTGCTAAAGATGGTCAATGGCGTTTATCTTCAGTCATTACCATTTGACACGATCCGCTGCTGCTTCAGACAAACTGCATGACTATAAATGCACCTCAGTTTTGTTTACATAATTGTGAATATTAATAGAAAGAAAAAACCCTAACTCAACATACTGTGGTATATTGGGGATGCTGGACTTGAAGCCAGACCACGTGGATGAGGCCAGGTTCTCCTCTTCACCAGTAACCTGTGTGAACTTGAGCAAAACACATAACCTCTCTGGTCCTTTACTGATAAATAACTCCTAGTGCAGAAGGCTCTTGTGAGGATTAAGTGCAAAAACAAACTGTAAAGTACTCTACACACATAAGGCTTTTCTTTTTTTTTTTCCTATTCAAATGCCAAGAGAAAATAGTTGAATCATTGACTTTCCTCCGCCTTTATCTACATGAGCGTAAGACTGTTTTGACAAGAAATTAGTGGGAACAGATTCTTGGCACATATCGTCCTTGTTACCAAATCTAGTCATATCAGGATAATGCTTGATCTAAACACTTGCTTCAGAGCAGTTGGTTGTGCCAGAGTGGAGAAATTTCCAGTGGAAATGTTTAGAGACTAATTAGATCAACTCCAGGGACCCACTTAGTATGCCACTGTTGTATTTGTGATCCAACCAAGACATTTATCCATACACCCATTTCTATCCTTTGTGATGGATCTCAGCCTTTTGAGCTAAAACAATCTTGTGGCAATTTGCACTGGTTGTTAAGATAGCCAGAAGAATGAAATGAACCATTCCTGAGATTGTGTTATTTCGAGTTCATTCAAAGTCTTTACTCATCGATGTTTGTCCTGGTCACTGAGCTCGGTGACGATGCATACGCTCTCCCAGCAGCAGAAACCGCCAGCGTCCCGTGAACCCTCTGGTCGACTAGTAAAATCGAGGGAATGAACTGAACATAAATTAATTTCTGGCACATGGTAGACAATCAGTGTTTGTTGAACGACATTTTTTATCACAGCAATCTGCCATCCACGCAGTGCTTCTCAAACTGGGGATATATTTTTCAGGGTGTACAAAAGAGGTATTTAAATTTTAAGAATATCAATTTTACTAGTTGATAAGTAATATAAAACATCATTTGTTTTATACTGAAACATATGTTATGGAGTAAAATGCAGCATTTACATGAATTTTTAATGTAAAACATAAGACTTCAAAAGAACTCTGTGCTTGGTATATTCCCAGACCATTCTAGGCATACACTTTCATTCTCTGCCTTAGGAGCCGTTCATTGCAAAGGTTTAGGAGGGGCTGCAGAAGTGCATTCTGGGAGTCCTCAGTTCCCAAACTGTGAAACACCAAAATCAAACTTTTTTTAGAAGAGTACTTTATTTTTTTCCTAGCTGAAGTCTTTTGGCTCAGAGGGACTAAGAAGAATTGAAGGTTAAGCTTTCTATAGTATGTTCTTGAAAATTCTTTAACACTTAAGAAAGATTAAAGGGGAAAACATTTTTAGGGGGAATGCTTGCAAGGTGGAATGTCTAGAATTCCTTATCTAGGTAAGGTTTCTAATATTAAGTATTCTGGAGCAGAGTTCTCAGTAGAAGGCCTAAGGGGCACACGAAGGGTGGGCGTTAGAGAACCGTCAAGGCAATAAAACAAGTCCATTTGTGCAGACAGATAAATAAATTAAAAAAAATACAACAATATAGAGACTTTATGAAAGTAATTGCTTCATAAGACTATATAGAGAAAATGATTTTCATAACTTATTTGCTATTCATCTAACAGCAGACATACCTGTTTGACTTGAAAAACTATATATAGAAAATTCAAACACTCCAGGTTTACAAAAACTGATCAACATTTAGTTTTAGACACTGAACTAAGTATGAGGAATGTAAATATCAATGATTAATGACTATAAACTCTTAAAGGTTATGTTCTGAAACAAACATGAAAACCATTAAGAAAGTCTAAGCACAGTGAAAAAGAAATGTTTAAAATTATTCTTCATAGTAGGGCTCCTTGGATTTCAACTAAGATCAAAACTTGTTATCTTATCTGAGATATAATGACCAGATTCTGTTGATAAAGCAATGTTATTTCTTAAAGTCTTAAGTTAGATTCTAAATATTTGGGTTGTCTTTTTCCAGTGCTTTTTTAAAAACGGAATAAAATTTAGGATAGCTTTTTCTTTAAACAAAAAGTTGTGCTTTAAATTTGGCCCAGAATTTTCCCAACTATTTCCCTGAACTACACACACACACACACACACACACACACGTGCGCGGGTGCACAAAATGCATTCTGCTGAGGCAAAACTTGGACATTCCTGAGAGACTAAGGAATCATATTAATTTGAAGGCTTGAGAGAGCTTAGAAATAATTTTGTCTTGGTTTTTATTGGGGCAAAACTGAGACCAAGAGAGGTTTTTGAGGCTCGTCCAAGATCACACATCCAGTAGTTGCCTATCTGGAGCCAGAGCTTTGACTTCCTGTGAAACAAAGTAGATTCAAATGACCTGGGTTCTAGTATAGACTTCACCAACAGGGCAACCACCAGCAAGTGCCTTAACTCCTTCGGATCCACAGTTCTTGGTAGAAAATGCTGGAAGTGACTTTCAACAAAGGTAGCCCTGAACACCCCTTGGGGATGCTGGAAACGTGAGGGGGTGTGTCTAGTTGCTGCAACTACTGGAGTGTGCTACTGGCACCTGTGCCACTCCCCAGGTGGCAGTGTTCCCTCCCCCCACTGGGAAAGACTGGGTGACCCATTACCAGGCCAGGGCTCATTTTACGGTAACTCATTTCTGAACCCAACTCCATCTATGAGAGGGGTGGCAGTCTCACTTATATAGCTCTGCTTTTAATTTGTCAAAAGTCACTTTTTGGAATTCCCATTGTGCCATATCTGCATTCTATCTTTAGATCTTTAGATAGAAAGGTTAAGTTGGACACAAGTGGAAAATACAGTCATCTTTAGATGGCCAACATACAATTTTCTTTTAAAAAAAGAACTGATTTCCAAATGTGGAGTGTTATTTAAAAAAAAGTTTCGTTGCATGATATAATCTTTTAAATAGTTTCAGGTTTTTAAGAAATGCATTTCTATAATAGGCTATGGCATGATATATAATTGATTGGCAAAATTTCAAGCTTAAATTCCAAATTTTTTGATATCTGGTCATTAAATCTTGCCTATTTTTATGATTTATAAATAAAACCACAAATGCCACAACTAAGCAGAAGCAAAAAACAAAAACGCACCCTATGAATTCTGTCACAAGTAAATGAAAATACTGTATTCCTTTAAACAAATGTACTTATAAGAGCTTTATAACCCAAAGCAAGATATGTGAGATGGTTCAAGAAGAGGTTGCAATTTTGCAACAAGAAGTCCGCACAGCTCCTCCAGGCAGTAGCTATGAAGGAAGTACCTGTGTCTCAGAAACTGGTTTCCATACGTTCTTGACACTTTTGCATCCCAGGCCCCATTATTTACAAAGTTATGCATTTTGCAAGCTCAAAGCACCTTGCTCCTCATAATTATGAATGCATGCAATGACATCTCGTCCTTTCATGTGCAAATTCTAAAATTCATTGTAACAGAAAAGTTAAAAGTTGAAAATCTGTCTACAATTTGAAAGAAAAGGATCAAAAATGTCAGACATTGCAGAATACTGGTTCCTAATAGAACTCTCTTTATTTGTTTACGTTCCTCAGTCATTTTTGTGTGTTTGTTACAAAATGCAGTCAGTCTTGACTCTTTATTTAAACAGTACTTAAACTAAACTGTTCATGCCATGCAAAAATAACATTTTATGCACTTTTTTGGGGGGCTTCCCATGTTTTAGTTCACAGGCATCTTAAACCGCATTTTTAAGAACCAAGTTTTTTTTTTTTTTTATTGCTTTTGTAACTAGTCACATGCTGGTTTCACGTGTGGGACAATAACCTGTGTCTCCTGGGTTGGAATGAATTTCTGGGGCAAACAAGTGGTTCTCCATCTTGCACCCTTCTTGACTATTGTCCTTTTTCACTTCAGCCACAGCATGGTAAATGTCTTGCCTACAGTTGTGACTCGTGTCCTGGGGGGAGGAAGAGCACACAGAGGCCTCTTCTCTTAGAGGGTCTCTTCCGTCACTAGGTTTATCTGCAAAGCAGTTTGGGCTGGAGTCCGCCTGCTTGTCCTGCCTTGCCCCTTGGAGCTCTAAGAAGTCATCGTCTTCACCAGTGTCTATTTCCGTGAAACTCCTCCTCTCTCTGGATGAGAAAGGAAAGAGTTTCTGCTTGGGAAACCGAGCGGGGAGCCCTTTGGAAGGTCCCTGACAATGTGCCGAAACCTCAGCGCCCAGCAAGGGTCTGTCTCCCTGGGGGGGCGTTTCTTCTAAGAGGATGGTACTGATGAGCGGCGGGGCGGTGAGTGAAAAGTCAGCGGTGGTGACTGGCAGGGGTCTGGCTGTGCTGGGCGGGGTTTGTGGCGCACTGCCTCTGTTTTCCTTGAAGTTCACTTTGAGCGATCTGGACTTGAGTGGGTTGCTGCCTTTCAGGGAGCTCTTAGGGCTGTCGGAGGCATTGTCAGACTGCAAGGGGCCGTGGAGGCCACTTTGGGAACCGCTGGCCTCGAGGTTCACAGTTATGTCGATTGGAGTGTATTCCAGGGTGGCATCCTTGGCCGCGGGCCCTTTCTCTCTGGTTAGTGTTAGAAATGGGGGGCCCCTGGCTCTTTGGTGCTCTTCAGTCCCTGTGAGGTCGGGTGGGAACTTCATCTGCAAGTGAGAAGCGGAGGGCGGCGGCAGGGGCGATCTCTCGGTCTCCGTGAAGTCGGTGGCACAGCTGGTGAAGCTGTCGATGCTCGAGGTGCTCTTCATGTCCACGATGACCTCGGTCTGCGCCACGGCCAGCTGCTCCTGCGGGCAGACCACTTCTTCCATTTCTATCTCTTCTTCATAGGCAGATGGCCTCTCGGGCTGTTCCTGGCAGTCCGGGTTCTGGGGAGGGTGAGGCTGTGTCTTGGTGATTTCATTGTACAGCATCTCCAGCTTCTGGGCACTCAGATGCTGTGGGCTGGAGGAGGAAGTGTTGTTCAGCTGCTCGTGAGAGTCTTTTTGGCTAACTTCCTGGTACTTATTCTCGTAAGACTTGTTGGAGCTTGTTTCTGACAGAGCCTTCCTGGCCCACTTCCACCGGCTTGGAGAGACGTGATTATCATCCGCCGAGTCCTTTGTATTGGCTGTCTCTCCTGCCTTCTCCACAGCCACATCTATCAGTTCCATACTTCGAGCGAAGGCGTCTTTTAGGTTCATAGAAACGATGCTTCCATTCCTTTTGGCCCGCTCAAGAGCCTCTCTTCTTTTAATTGCCTTCTCCTGGCGTTTCTGCTCCTTGTAAAACTCAGAAAAATTGTTCACAATGATTGGGATGGGAAGGGCAATGACCAGGACCCCAGCAATACAACAGAGGCCTCCCACAATTTTCCCTAATAATGTTTTTGGATAAATGTCCCCATAGCCTACTGTGGTCATGGTGATGGTAGCCCACCAAAACGATGCCGGGATACTGGTGAACTTGGTTGCGTCTTCATCCTTCTCGGCAAAAAATACCAGGCTGGAAAATATCATTATCCCCATGGCCAAAAACAATATCAACAAGCCCAGTTCATTGTAACTCCGTCGGAGGGTGAAACCCAGAGACTGCAGGCCTGTCGAATGTCTGGCGAGCTTCAGGATCCTGAGGATCCTCATGATTCGGAAGATCTGAACCACCCGTCTCACGTTCTGGAACTGCAGCACGCTCTTGTTGGACTCTGTGAGGAAAATGGTGACATAATATGGCAAGATGGCCAGCAGATCAATGACGTTTAGTGGGCCTTTAAAGAACTTCCATTTATTTGGTGAGGATAGGAACCGTAAAAGGTACTCCATGGTAAACCAAGCAATACAGACAGCCTCCACATGTGCTAATTGGGGGTTGTCGTTGGGTTGCCCAAATTCGTCCATTTCCTGCAGCTCCGGGAGAGTGTTGAGAGAGAGAGCGATGGTGGAGAGTACGATGAACAGGATAGACACGATGGCCAAGATCTGGAAAAGAGAAGAAGGTCCGAGTTAGCACATCCTCTTAGTTGCTCAGGCAACTAGGAGACAGATGGAGTCACCATTCTTTACATGGTATGGATTCCTCAAGAGGTTCCAAGAAGGTAACTTTACAACCTAAAATTCCCTAACACAAATACATTCACTTTTTGAGTTCATTTCACTTAGAAGCTTAATGTAGGAAGCATTTAAATTCCAGGGCCTAAGCAATTTGGAAAAAATCCCTCTCTCCCCTCCACCCACCTTGTTCTTAGGCACATTTGTGTGAGTACCAACCATTTGGAATAATTTTGGGGGAGTACTCATCTCTCCTCTCTTGGTCATATGTAATTTCTCTCTCTTCACCACCTGGTTTGTGTTTCTTTAGTGAATCACCGATCCACGCTACATAAGCTAGAAGCAATTCAGGATTTCTAGAAGTCTTACTCTACAACTAAAAACATGAATGCAGACCTACACTCAGGACAACAACGCTCCTCACAGACCAAGCATCATGTGGGAAAGGAAGATTATGAGCTAACGTTGTTTGGTCAAGGAAGGTTTCATAAAGAAGAGCTTGAAGATCCTCCATGATGATCTTGGTGCAGGGCAGACATTTTAGGCAGAAGAATAGCAGTATGGTGTCTGATGTGGAAAGAAAGAGGAAAAGGGGCCTGGCCCCATGGCCGAGTGGTTAAGTTTGTGCGCTCCGCTTTGGTGGTTCAGGGTTCTCAGGTTCAGATGCTGGGCACGGACATGGCACTGCTCATTGAGCCATGCTGAGGCGGTGTCCCACAGAGCACAGCCAGAAGGATGTACAACTAGAGTATACAACTATGTACTGGGGGGCTTCAGGGAGAAGAAGAAGAAAAAACAACCAGAAAAAGAAGATTGGCAACAGATGTTAGCTCAGGTGCCAATCATTAAGAAAAAAAAGAGGAAGAGCTGAATAAGAAGTAAGAAGAGGATCGAGTGACTGGATTTTAGATTCAGACATTCTGAGCTCTCAGCCTGGCTTTATTGCTTACTGTGTGACCTTGGGAGAGTTATTTACCCTCTGTGTCTCAGTTTACAAATCTACTGAATGAAGACAACAACCATAGTTATTTCATGGCTGTTGTGAAGATTACGTGGCACACAGACCTCACTAAATAAGTGAGAGATGAAATGAACAGGACTTCAGTGTGTGGGAAATCTGTAAAACCATGCAAGATACAGACAGCCGGAGGAGGGATTTCCTCACTGTAACCCAGTGTTTTAGATTGATAAGGCAAAGCATAAAGATTAAGCCTTGAAGGGGCCGGCCTCATGGCTGAGTGGTTTAAGTCCTGCATGCTCTGCTTTGGCTGCCCGGGTTTGAGGGTTTGGATCCTGGGTGCAGACCTACTCCACTCATCAGCCATGCTGTGGTGGCATCCTGCATACAAAGTGGAGGAAGATGGGCACAGATGTTAGCTCAGGGCTAATCTTCCTCAAGCAAAAAAACAAAAGTATGATTGGCAATGGACATTAGCTCAGGGTGAATCTTCCTCTCCAAAAAAAAAAAAAAAGATTAAGGCTTGAAGGCAGTGGAAAGAAGCACTTCTTTGCTTAGTAAAAATTGTGCATCTGAAACACACAAGCAGGAGACCCCTCTTACCTAGGTTGGGTCTGGCTTGGTTTCACCTGACTTTTGCCAGTGACCTTGGGAGGTGTCACTGGTCTCAGTTATTATTTGTAGCTCTGAGAAAAATATCCTGACACTGACTGTTTAATTTAGAGATTCAGCATCTAGTAAACATTTCAAAAGACAACGATTAAACATCTTGAGTAAACACCAGATTGTGAAGAAACTAGTTTATCTCTAACTGATATCAGGACTACTGAACTCCTCTCCTCTTGCTCTTCTTTCTCTCTTTTCTCTTTATCCTTCCAAATTCCTCTACTTCTAGGTTATTCTCCCTACCCTTCCTCTTCTCTCCCCTTGGTGCCTCCTTTATACCTTTCATTGTTTTTTCTTCCTGTTCTTCCAGTTGCCATCTTTCCTCTTAAATCACTATAAAGTTAAACCATAGTAGGATGTATTTCAGAATGTGTTGCAGATATTCAATAAAGATTTATGATTCCTTAACTTGAAGAACGGTATTTAATTATTAGTGTTTAATATTTTTTCTGGAACAAAACTAAGTACTTTTTACTCGAGTGTACTTCAGAATTTCTTTTAAAAATGTGGACCAATGAATCACAGTAGAGTAAAGGTTCTCTTCGTCTACTCTAAGAGATAGTGAAGGCTAAAGTTAGAAAGCCCCTCAAGAAGGTTTAGATAAACCCATGGATAATGGATTCTGAGGGTTTATTAAGGGCAAGTTGGGAATGCTCACCCCAAATCTTTACCCTCAGAGGCCAATGGCAGGGTGACACTTACAACATCCTGTCACTGAAATATTCCTTAGGAAGCATTGGTCAGAGCCCAAACATTATTATGCTCTTACCATAAAGAACTAGATCCCTCTGTATTTTCTAGGAGGTCACACAGTTCCTAATTACCATTGGGCATTTTAAGTACTGGGCTTGCTGCCATCATTCTTGCACTCATAGTCCATATTCTAGGTTTTCCAAATCTTCTGATCTGTTCACCTTCCCATTTTGGATGCATTTTATTGATGTTTATCACTTCAAAGAGCAAGGAGAAAAGCAGAAATACAAATCAAACCATTCGATTATCTTCCAATCTTTTGGACAAAGAAGAAAGCAGAAGGTCCAACGAGGTGGACGTTCAGTTTTACTTGACTCTATAACCAGAGGTGGATTGTAGGTCATTGTACTTCAGTAGCTAATTTTGGGAAATAGACATTGCATAGCACTAATGCTGGTGATGCTCTAGTCAACGGCAACTCAACAAACACGGTTGCCTTTAACACCTGAAAACTTAGCGCATGCACAACATGATTTGGAGTCCATTCTTGAAGAAAAGGAATTACTAAAGAAAAAACCCAAATGCTCAAGCCATTAGCAACCCCACGTTCATGATGAAGAAACCATAAGGTATTGAAGCAGATTATTTTCTGTCTCATGTTCAAATTCAATCTGTCAAAACCCATTTGCTTTCATTGTAAAGGAATGGCCTATTTAAAGCATCTTGTGAAGCTTGGAGTTCTCCCACAAAGACACCATCTTGACAAATGACTCAATGTATATCAAGAATGATGTGTGACACAATAAGCCAAATGCAAGTTTATTGTCTTATTATAGAGTTTCTTGTTTAACACGATAAACATAACAAATGTGAAAGTTTAAGCTACAAGATACACTTCTAAACATGGATATTTACTTTGCTACAGCAAACCCTTATGGCATTTAGGTATTGCTTCGTTTATTATAACTAGGCACAAGTTAGTTTTTTAATCCTGTCACCTCCAACAACAGGCCTCCAGAGCTGGCTGTTTCTCTCAGCTCTAGTAAATAGACTCATGTTTGTACGTGGCGAGTGAAGCACGAATTCCAAACAATCATCTCCGTGATGTCAGTCAACCTCCCTGGAGATTTGCATTAGACCATCCCCGAGGTTCCTTAACCTCTAACATTTGCTGATTCTCTTTCTACTCGAAAACATTTTGCTAATTCCAGTCGTGTCTGCAAACCAAACCAAGGACAAGTCACAACTGATCCTGTCATTATGGTTGAATTGCCAAAATACGACTTTGCTGTTAAGAAGTAAAAAATTCAAATGGGAAGGCTTTGAAAAATATCTCATTGTGGTGTATGTTCCAAGTATTCTTTACTGGGGATAGACATTCTTTCTGGATAAAACTTTTCTTCCCTTTCAAATTTCCTGGACAATGATTTTATTCTTCACTTAGACACAGACATTCACAGGATCACACGGAGTTAAGAACAGGCCTCCAGGCACTTGCATTAATAGGTACCTAAAGTTGGTTGCCTTGATTTCCGTTTGTGAGAGAAAGTAAGGCAGTTGAAGACTTGCCTCAATTTACCAGCTTGTTCAAGGTCCTGTGAAGATAATGGGTGTTTTGTGGTGCAAAGGACACAGAACAAGGAATTAACACACATGGCTACCTCTGCTGGCTGTGTGGACAAGCCAGTTCCCCCTCCAAGCCTCGGTTCCCTCATCTGCAAAACGAGGTGCCCCACATTTGCTTTGCCTGTCTCAGAAGGTGTTAGGGATCTAACTAGCTCATGCGCATGAAGCATCCTATAAAATGTAAAGTGGGATAAGCGTAAGAAATGCTGGAAACGTGTCTGGAAAAAGCCTTTGGTCAGCATTGGGAGGAAATGAAGAAGACAAACTGTTCAGCCCTCATTCAAATACAATTGCAGACCTATTTCATGTTCATATTTTAAACACATTCTCTCATGGAAGCAGTGGTTTGCAGCCAAACCCAGACAACTGTAGCTTATTCGCCTCAGGACTGAACCTTCTGGTTTGCCAATAGTTGAGAGTGGGACTGCGGCTGGGTGAGGGGTGGGCGAAATGGATGAGCGTGGTCAAAGGATACAAACGTCCAGGTATAAAATAAATAAGTCCTGGGGATGTAATGTACAGCACGGCGACCTTAGTTAATAACACTGTATTGTGTATTTGAAAGTTGCTAAGAGAGTAGATCTCAAAAGTCCTGTCACAAGAAAAAAAACTGTAACTATGTCTGGTGATGGATGTTAACTAGACTTCTTGTGATCGTTTTGCAATATATACATGTATCAAATCATTATGTTGTACACCTACAACTAATACAATGTATACATCAATTATATCTCAATAAAAAGAAAGAGTTGGACTGAGGTTGCTTCGGATGATATTGACCTACCTTGAGTCTTAAAATATGCAGAAAGTGTTCTGGCTTGGGCCTCCTGTGTAATACTCTGCTTTATATCCACCAACATTCAACACTCCACCCAAACACATGGGAACTTCTGTGCCTCACACTGAGCCCAGTGCAGGTACTTTCTCTCTCCTCTTCCCTAACCTTGCCCTCCTTCCTTCACAGATATATACTGAGAGGTGAAAGTGA